GAGGTTGTTTAGGATAACGACGATGAATTAACTGTGGGAGATGATGTCTTTCAATTTATGAGTTAATTGATCTATATCGAGTTGCTTCATCTAATGACTTACAAGAAAATTCAAATTTTTGCATTGCTAAAAATATTTTTATTGATGTTGACGCTAAGGAGTTGAATGATGTTTTGAGTCCTAATGGACATACACAAGTCGATAAAGATAATAAAGATGAAATCAACATACAAGATTACGATAGAGATAAGACGAACCAATTGACGAAGAAAAATAGAATTCTGGTTAATTTACACAACATGAATGTGTAATTCCATAAACTATAATGTAATATTTATAGATGAGATGTACTTCAATATAATGGCAATGATGTTAATTTATTATTGAATGATAAGGAAATATTTATTTTATTATTGTGATGTGAACTTGTTTTATTGTGTTATGTGTACAACTGTGAATTTAAGTATTTGCAGAATGGGTAAATAGGGAATATAAACACAATTTAGCATTAAACATTGATTTATACTGATGGAAAATACTAATATATTGGTCATTATATACCGTTATACCAACAAAATATAATGTTGGTATATTCCAAACACTATAAGAACTGCGCCCCTTCACCGTAACATTGTTCATGGTGTTTATTACATAAAGATATACCAACAGAATGTGTCAGTCAGTATATTCCAGAAACCATGAAAACTGTTCCATCGGTATATTTTAGAGATCATAGGAACTGTTCACTTTTCAGTGGCATTATTCACGGTGTTCATTACATACAGGTATACCGACGAAATGTGTCATTGGTATATTCCAGAGGCAATAGAAACTATTCACTTCTCTATACAGTGATAATGTCTTTTTTTAATCATTAATTTGTTTAGATGTTGAAGAGAAAGTTAATTGCATATTGCAAGCATGATCACTATTAGTTTTTCTATCAGCGATAATGACGACCATAAATCATTAGGTGCCGATCAAAAATAGGCATCTGAGGCACAAACATCAACTCATAACACGAGTTCATCAAGAATGATGTCATAATATCGAGAGAGGTCCCTTCATAGCAAGATCTATTTACCCATAAGCATGAGACCCAGTGGAAAGAAGACCTTTCAATGTAAGTTTGTTTTGCTTTCACAACGATATGTTTAATAATTTTTGAAAAAATAATATCATTTAATGAATACAATTTTAAGTTTACAAATATTAAGGCTACTGGAACAATAACATAGGCATTTAAATCATTAATAAAAATTATATTATTTTAATAGAACCACGTTTTCAAATATCTTAAATGGAAACCGTAGGTCGATACATGGTTTTCAAGGTTTAATGTTAATATTAACTTAAATATTTTTTTTATGTTAATTTGGACATTTTAATGAAATTACTGAAATTCTCTTTTTATAAATTTTTATTTTGAGGGGAGATTTGAATAAGAGAGGTTGTAATAATGTTGCGATAAGGGTATGGAAGAATTATGCAGCAATTAGGTAAGATCAAATTCAGAATAATTTTTTATTTAAAATATTAAAATTTTATTTTTCATTTACTAATAGATAATTAATTTGTGCTATATAGGTTGTGTGATATTTTGTACGAGATGTAAAAGAAAGCTAAAAAATACGCGAAAGAAAAGGAGCTTCTAGAATGGAATGACATGATGGCATGGAAGGATTTCCAACTGTCATACATCTTAGAGGCTATATAGGCAAATACATCCAGAACGTAATGTCCGTGCATTTCACTCAACAGTCATAGTGTGGTATGGATAACCAGAACTGGCATGTTCACGATTCTATTACCACGCACACCGACAACTCTATTTCATTTGTTTTTTATAGGAAGCGAATTGTGAGATTTTTTATTTCATTTATTTTTTTATTAGTGGTTTTATAAATATAGTTAACTAGTAATATTTTTTTAGCAGGTATAGGATTAGATGGGCCATTTTAATGATAAATATAAATAACTCAATGCTAATTATAAAGAACTCTATCGATTGGTAATAGAGATGATATCACACATGGATGGTTCATATGCACCCCCTAATTGGCCCTATGATCCCGACAATGACCGACTCCTTCTCCAGCACAGGTTTTATTTTAGATTTATTATATTTGAATGTAAAAATATTTAAATTTTATACTATTTATTTTATTTTATTTTATTTTGTTCAATATTTTTTAAAAAAAATATTAATAATGGTATTATTGATGGTACAACTTTGCGGTATATTCCAGAGAGTTTAGAAAACATTACTGCAAATGTCACTATTATTAATAGGGTTACCAACATAACTAGATAGTCAATATATTATAGAAAATTAGAAAAAAATTACTATAAATATCACTACTATTGTAAACGCACTAACGGAATTATAGATGATATGATGTTAGTGTTATGCTATATTTACTAATGGATATACTAATGGAATAAAATAGATAAATATTTTTTTTATATGCATTTTGTCTGTAATTAAATCTATCAGTATATTTATTACTAATAAACTCATTAATAATTCATAAATTATCAACAAGAAATTTTTTAATGGGCTATTTCGATAAATAAGTTCTTTGGTAACATATGTACCAATGAATTGTTAATATAAATAGCAATAAAAATTTTATCAATAGAACTACTAAATTTGATAGGAAACTCTCATATGAATACCTCTTCGAAATGGAAACCACGTCAAATACAAGATCCAAAGAAATGAATCACTTGTGATAATGTGAATAACTTGACTAACTATGTACTTGGACAAAACTAGAGATTCTCGTGATTAGTTTAGTTTTACTACAAAAAAAAGAAGAAGAAAGAAGCAAACATCTCTATTGGGAGATTAAAGACAGTCCTTCCTGGTAGAATTACACACAAGTACGAAATCAACACTCTCTCACCATCTTCCAAGCTGCTGTAATGTCTAACTGCATCATGCCCACAAGTCGAGAGATCCGAAGAAACTATGAGCTGTTGCTTAATTAAGACAAAGACCCTTGTACAAAACCTTAATAAGACCTCTGGTTGGAATGCTGTCAAAGCTCCCGTACGTATTAATGACTTCATTCTTCACAACACTCTTTTTGAATTAAAAAGGCTGCTTTAATTCAATTTTAATTAACATGACTGCATGTTGAATCTGATCGTATAAACAGCACAACATGTTTTGGAAAGTTTTTAGCCTACCAACATTACAAAAAAAAAAAAACCAAGTCCAGGGTTAAGCTTACAAAGGAAGAAAACAAAGGGCCTGAGGTCGCTTCACAGAGGCGAGTGTCGAGTGATTGTTACACAAGAAAGGGAAGCTGAGCATCACACGATTGAAGAAAATTAATGGCGGCATTGAAGTTGGAATGGTGAGTCTAAGACTGGACAAGTCATCAATGATAGGGCCAGCCTTCATAAACATCATCCAGGGCCACTTTCTTCTATCCCAAACCAGGTGGTAGCCTTTGTGACAATTAATAATATTTCAGAAAATACCCACACTCGATTTATTGTCACTGTGGATTAACAGTGAAATTATAATTTTATCATTCTAAACTAAAAAAATTTAAAAAAAAAAAGCCTGGGCAACTGGGTAATTAGGTTTTTTGTTTTTGTTCCTAATAAAATATTTAAAATTCAAATTATCTTAAGTTGGTGTCCAGGTTCTATGATATTCTCATAATAATTTTTTATAATTATTGGGTTGAATTATGGGCAAAACAATTTGTACTGTAGCATATATAAAATATTATTTAATATTAAAAAGTGAAAAAACTGTGTTATTCATACTGAAATGAATGATAAAATCATTGCTTTTTGAACGGCATATATAACATTGTTCAATGATTAAATATTGGTTTTTACGACAGCATTTGAATCATCAACGGCCCTTCATCTTTGGGTGTTATATATGATTGATTTCCTTCTAGTTTGATGTCAATAATTTTTTTTATTTTTTTTGTTTTAAATTTTGCATTTGCCCTTACAAAGTTTTAAAATAACTTTTCAATTTATTTTTATTTCAAGTTAGTTTTTTTACTATTTGTTTATATTAAATAATTCATAGAACTTGAATTTTCTTTTAATTTCATTATTCTTTGATTTTTTTATCTCTTAGATTTAGGCTTCATTCTTTTTATGTGTTGTTTTTGTTTTCTTAATTGAATTTATTTTTCAATTGCATTCCTTAATATTTTATTTGATTTAATTTTTTGTGTTAAATTTTATTATTATCTTTTAATTGTTATTTATTTATTTTTTTAATTAAAACTTTCCTTTTCAATTAGGATTTTGTGAATTGAAAATTAGACTTTATGATTTTTTATATTTTTCTTCTATGGAATAATTATGAAGTCATGACCTAAGTTATAGGTTTGAATGATTAGCTCAGGGTGATCTAGATTTTTTTTTAGATTCTTTTTTATAATTATTTTTTTTATATGTAGCTTGTAGGATTTCTAGGTTAAATTAATTAGGAATGGAGCTTTTTTATTAAGCCTGGGTATAAATTATACAAGTTTAAAAGATTTATCTAGATTTACTAAATTTTTTTTTAATTTATATTTTTTTAATTTCATCATTTAATATTAAATTAATTAAAAATTAATTTTATATTTTAATTTCATCATTCAATTACATTAAACTTTATAATTTTTTTTATTTTTATTTTTATTTATTTATGCTAATCTCATCATTTAGATTATTTCTATTTCTATTTCGAGTTTGACACTCTATAATGAATTTTTTTCTAGAATTTTTTTTAATATAATACTTTTTATATTAACATATTCTCATGATCCTTTTAATCCATTTACTATCATTATCTTTCGATTTATTCAAAAAAAGAATTTTTCAGTCGGAGTTCATACCCCCAGTCGTTTTTTCCAACTTACGCTTGCGTCCACATAAAACTCCGCGGGCCCACAAATCTGGTTTCCTCAATTAGATTGAGAGAGACCATCTCTCCTCAGCTTCCCGTGTCAGCAAAATACCATCACCTTTCCTCAAATGAAAAATCAGAAAATAAGGGAGTGGCATAAAACATTCAACTTCATTCCTATTGAAACATTTGTATCCATACAGCATGCACGTAGAGTGTCCAAGGTAGATGCATTCAGTGCTACAGACAGGAAAAGTGAACAATTTGACAAGAGAGGCAACTGAACTTATGGAGATGGATACCAGCCGTACAGTTCAGCATCTTCTCCTTCATAGAACCTCAGCTCAAGTTCCTCCAGCCGTCCCTCATCATCATAATCATCCGAATATTCTTCCCAGTCATTTGTCACATAGAAGTCCTCCATTGCAAAAGGTCTCAATACTGTCAATTTTGCAAAGCTCTCCTTGAAGAACTTATCATCAAGATTCACATTCCAGCATCCTCTCAAATCCATAAACTCAAGCTCGGTACAGCTTGAAAGGATTTGTAATAAACTCTCTGTGCTAACAAGATGGTAAACCATCTCTAAGCGCTTCAGCTTAGGCATCGTGGTGGCAATGGCATAAGCCTCATCATCTTGGGTTTCCATGCCTTCTGTATCTAATGGGTGCATGTTCCGGCACAGCCCCACAAGCAATTTGCAGTGCTTTCCAATTGCCTCTAAAGCACATCCGCTAATTTTAGTACAGTAGCTCACATCCAAGAAAGTGATAGTAGAAAGCCTTCCAGCAATCTGTTCAACTATCAAATCACTAATATCACTTCTTGGAATCCGCAATGTCTGAAGGGAAGCAGCACTTGCAAAAACAAGAAATGAAATTAAGATTCGTGTTGTAAAGCATCAGCATTGAAAGCAACTGAGACTAATCTGGCTCAAAGTGATTGAAAGCACATTATCTCTACAATTGGGGCATACCACCGGCAGTTCTGAGCATGCAGATAGGAATGAAGCATCAGCATAAGATAAGTATTCCTAATATCATTGGTAAATTCTAAAAGCAAGATAAAAGACTCCGACTACCCATTGCAACTGTGAATATCAAATATAAACTAGTCAATGGCAAGCTCGTCATTGTAACAAGTTTGATAATAGAAACGGGTGTCATAAAAACGTCTAGTTCAGCTTACTGGTCTGCAAGGAATAAGAACGTTGTATCATTGTGAAGGCCAGAGACACAGAGTTTGCGGAGGGATCCACGGCTTCTTGTAATCAACATTTGAAGCATGCGATCAAGGTGATCAGGATGGCATCTGGTAGTCCATTCCTCAATGTTGATCTCTTGCCAGCAATATGGCCCTGAAACTGCTCTGCTCCATGATTTGCAAACCCTTGGAACCACGGTTAGTATCTCTTGGAGAGAAAGATGGCTGAAAATTAGCCCAAGAGCATCTGGTATCAATTCATCCCAATGACGAGACTCATCTCCATCTTCCATGTAACTTGACTCAATATAATCAAACCAACAGTTAGACTAATCCGTCCCTACATAAAGAAATATGAGAAATGGGCAAAGAAATCAACAATTAGGCCATGTCTTTAAGCATGAAAAAGTTATTGCAATCTCATTCAGGAATTTTAAATGGAAAAGGGTTCGTCTTCAGGAATTTTAAGAGAAGTTGCATGACAAGTGTACAGAATTTAAGGAATCGATATAAACTATGAGGAGAAGTTGAAGATCAATGCTTAATAACTGCTTTTCCCTAAAAATAATGAAAAATTGAAGGTGCAATCTTTATATGAGATGCCAATTGAGATGAACACGAAATTGACAATTACAGAAATAGAAAAATAACATATAAAGTGCATACAAGTAAAAAGATAAGAGGAGAAAAGAGGGGCGAAATAAATTGCCAAAAAAGTGAGAAAGAAAAGAAAGGACTAACCAAATGAAGAGATTGGAAGTAAAAGCTACTTTGATAGTCCAAAATTTGGGTTAAACATAACAAATTACTTAAAAACTAATCTTCAAAAAAAATCAAAAAAAAAAAAAAAACATTCGCAGCACCTTCACAGATCCATCCAGATAAACCCACAAAAAGAAACTGCTTGGAAATATCATCGAACAGGAAAATAACCATACCCACAAGACAGAAATACAAGAGACCGCATCCACATAGTTGCATCAATTGAGAAATCCAAGTAACTGCTTGCATATTACAGTGTCTGCTGAATCAACTTCAAATACATGATTAAACTCTTTCGGTTCGAGAAAACACAGGAGAGAGGCTACTAGAAATAGTTAACTCCGTTTTTGACATTGCAGATAAGCAACAGATTTAAACAAAGAAAGCAGAATTTCATTTTCTTGTAAACGAGACAGAAAGAACAAAAATAATGGCAAATCAAACCCATGTTTTTTTTACACACCTCGAAGAAGCCAGCTTTTCTTTTCCTTTAAAGCTTTGCTTCTCTTTCTTTCTTTCCTTCTTGTTTTCTTCGGGATTGAGATTCTGCAAAACAAAAGGGGAGAAAAAAAACCTCACCGGTTTATCCGCCAGAAACGCGGGGAGGAAGGGGAAGACGATAAAGAACAAGAGAGATGGAGAGAGAGGGCTACAGAACTATAGAACCATCTACCCACGAATCTAGAACAGCATCAATGCTAGCAGCAGCAAGAGTATTAATAAAAACAAGGAGTTAAAGAAAAAAGCTTGCAGTTAGGAAGGGATACGTCTGAGAACTCTAATACAAAAGGTGTACGGGGAACGAAAGTGAGAAAGCGGACAAAAGACTTCTAGTTTTTTTTTTTTTTTTCCAGTACTTCAAACCTCGGGTAAATTATAAATTGGTCTTTTAAATTTGATGAAATAAATTAATCAGTACTGGAGTTTCAAAAACTCGATTAATAATACTCAAAGATTTATAAGAAAAAAATAAAAATAATAATAATATATTAAATTAGGTGTTAACATTGATCAAAAATAAATATTTAATTCATTTTACAAAACTAAAAAAAAATATAATTTACTCTCGAAAACCCAACCACGTATTATTACAAAAAAAAAAAAACTCAGAAAGATGCTTGCATAAATACTTGGTTAAAATAAAAAAAAATTTATTTTTATAAATAAAATTATATTTTATTATAGATACAAAATATTTTTAATTTTTACATAATTGATGGAATTTCCAACTTCATTATTACAATCGGTAAATCAAGATTGGATAGAAAAACTCACTAGTTACACCTACACTATGTTGTGCGTTTGAATTTTTTTATAAAAATTTATTTTTCAGTTATTACAAACACATTTTAAAAAACAAAGATAAATATAGCCTTCACATTATAGATTTGAATTTATCAAATAAATTGAATTTATTTAATTAGACCATTAAAATATAAACAACAACAACAAATTGATAAAAACAAATTATTACAATAACTTGGGAATTTTTTTTCAAGAGAGGATAAATAATGTAGCTTAATTTTCAACCTATTAAATATAACATGATGAAATTAGATAAAAAAAAAATAACCTTAAAAAATCAGTTTGACTCAATTCAAATTAGCATGATAAACTTATAGCTCGATAATCAGGTTCGAGTCAATTCAGGTTATCCTATTAAACCAACAATCTAAGTTATGAGATTGGAATAACCTAATAGAAAAAAATTACAAAAATTACAAAGCCTATTTTTTATTAAAAAAACTTATTGTCAACTCATATTAATTTTTCAAACCCATGAATTGGATAACCTTGGTCAACATGTCAGATCCGCAAATCGGGTAATTGACTCCATTACGATTGATAACGTTTTTTTTTGCTGAATTATTATTTATTTAACTATATGATAACAAAAATAAATGATCATAAAATCGAACATCAAACCAATAGTGAGACTTTTTTTAAGACGATGTTAACCTCATAGAAAATTTTAAAAAAAAATCATAAAACTCAATTCTCAATTAATCTAATATCAAATGATAAAATTGAAAAAAAAATTAAAATCGTTGTCGAACCCCACATCGCAACGGCCTTTAAAAATTTATTTGGAAAATAAACAAATATCTGACATCATGTTCTTAGATGAGGAAAGGTCTAGTATAAGGAGTCATCGCCTAATATTATAATCATTAGAAACCCTAACTGATTAACAGAGACTCTATGATGCAAAACTGGTTACGTGAAAAAAAAATATGATCACCTCTTAAACGTCCTATATAAAATAAGCTGAGGTACTGAGACAGCTAGTAGGTTTGGTAGGAGATGAATCTAATACATGATTTAGATCAAGTTTTATGCAATTTTTTACTAAGTCAATCTTCCCTGGGATAAGAAAAAAGGGGATGAATAGTGGATTTAGAAACAACATTGTTTTCTCAACTAAAATGCTTATCGTTAACCCCCCAGAGTTCTTCCATTTAGCAATTAGACCTTTATTCATGGAAATCTTCTTTCTTAAGAAAAAAAAACATCGTTATTGGATCAATTGCAATTGGACCTTTGGATTTCAACATTATTTACAAAATAGTCTTTGGTTTCAAATTTAATCAATTAAGTCTTTAATTGACTTCTTAATTTTTAATTTTTTAAAACTTACCCCTGGAAAAATAAGTTAATGCCCTATAGTATAACTGCCTATTCACTTTGGCTTTTGGACTTTAATTTCTTGCAATTTTGATCCAAATTGACCCTAAACTTTGATATTTCTTTAATTAAGCCCTTGATTTCATTGATTAAACTAATTTAAAGTTTAATTAAGTCCCTAACCATATCAATTCTTCCATTTTTTTGGCCAATTTGACTTCCAAATTTATAATTTCCTCCTTATTAGTCCCTAAACCTTCAATTTGCATTGTCTTGATCTAATTTTTAAATTATTTTTTATTTTATTTTTTTATTAATTGTTTTTTAAATTCAAAAAATAGGTTATGATAGTTGCTCTCTCTTTATAATATTTCCAATGCAAATACTTTGGAGGATTTTATTTTCTTTTAGCTTAGCGTAGTAAGTTTACAATGTGTTTGGTATTGCAGTAGCTGTTGTGATTGTGATTTGAAAAAAGTTGTTTTATAAAAAGTACTTTTAGTTGAGGTCGATTTGAAAAAATATGTATTTGGTTAAAATTGTGGTTGAAATTAAGGTTGAATAAAAAGTAGTTTAATGTGTTTGGTTAAGATGCTTTTGAAATTAAGGTTATAAAATAATTTTAAAAAATATTTATTAATATTGATGGTTTTTAATTTAAATATTGTAGATTTAACTATTTCTATTACATCATGAAATAAATAATACTTTATATAAAATATTTTTTATTGTTTCATTAAACCATCTATAATTCCATTATGTACAAAATTCATCCAAAAAGAACTACAATTTCAATAATTTTTTGAGCATACAATAAAATTAGATGAAATATTATCAAAAATAAAATTGATTTCATATTACAGTGTGAGTGAATTTAATTCACTCTACACTAGTTTTTTAGGGAAAAATATTGTTTACATGACAATGTGAGTGAATTTAATTAACTCTAAACTAGTTTTTTTTTAATATATACAAAAATTAAACATACTGGAAAAAAAAATTCACGCAAACAGTGCAAGTGAATTGCACTGTTTGTTGTTTTAAGTGAATAGTGCAAATGAATTGCCCTATTCACTGAAACGCTGATTGACGAAAAGCAGCCTAGAATTGCTTTACTAAAATCGTGTGCAAAACATGAATTATCATGGACCCCACCAAAAATAAATATTTTTTTTTTACATAACCAAACATAAGATTTGTTGTGGTTACTTCAAACGCAAAAGCAACCATACAAACAAACGGTTTCTAGAAAAGAACTTTACTTCTTTTAAAAATCTTGAAAACTTTGAAAGTTGCAAATTGGTAAATAACCTTTCTCGAGAGAGAGAGAGTGAAATCTAAAAAAATTAGTCATTTAAAAAGCGACCTATCTTGTCAATAAAGAATCCAATTTTTTTTTAATGGTCTAATTGTTTCAGGCGACCTGTCTGTTAGTGAAAAATATATTTATTTCAAAAGTGGTTTAATTGTTTCAAACAACCTACTCGTTGGTGAAAAATATGAAAGTTTTTTAACATTGGTCTCATTGTAATAAGTGACATACCCATTAATGAAAGATTTAAATATTTTTTTAAAGTTGGTCTAATTCTCATGGGTGACTTGTCTAAGTGAAAAATATAAAAATTTCTAAAAAATAAGAAATTTTCAGAAGTGTTTTTAATTTTTGGCCATCTCAAGGTGGCTTTCCTTTTAATAGATTATATCAAGGATTTCTCTTTATGAATTTTTGCAAAACACATTGCTCAATATTTTAAAGTTAGATGATATGCATGCATCTTTACCTTATTTGAAATATAACCTTTATTTCTTCTTATTATATTTATTGCTTGATTGGTGAGATCTTTTTATTTTTAATTCAAGTCCTCTTAGTCTTTTAGCTTCTTACCCATTAGAGTTGGCTTTGCTTCTCTTTCTTTCTTTCCTTCTTGTTTTCTTTGGGGTTGAGATTCTGCAAAAAAAAAGGGGAGAAAAAAAACTTCACCGATTTATCCGCCAGAAACGCGGGGAGGAAGGGGAAGACGATAAAGAACAAGAGAGATGGAGAGAGAGGGCTACAGAATTATAAAACCATCTACCCACGAATCTAGAACAGCATCAATGCTAGCAGCAGCAAAAGTATTAATAAAAACGAGTTAAAGAAAAAAGCTTGTAGTTAGGAAGGCATACGTCTGAGAACTCTAATACAAAAGGTGTACGGGGAACGAAAGTGAGAAAGCGGACAAAAGACTTCTAGTTTTTTTTTTTTAGTACTTCAAACCTCGGGTAAATTATAAATCGGTCTTTTAAATTTGATGAAATAAATTAATTAGTACTGGAGTCATGGTTGTTAAAATCATGATTCAACTCGTAAAATCGTATGTTTTTACGAGTTGATGTAGGCTTTACATGTTAAATCGCTTGTAAAACTTGGAAATGGGTAAAATCATATCAAAATCGGGTAAAATCATAAAATCGGGTGAAATCGTATGTTTTTTACACTAGTGCAATTCCATTTAATTGTGTAAAAAACTCTGAGTTTCTTAAAGCACTTGAATTGGTTGCAAAGCATGGGCCAGGTTTCAAGCCTCCATCCTACCATGATATTAGAGAGAAGTATTTGAAGCAAGAAGTTGACCAAACAATGAATTTGCTTGAGGATTATAAGCTAGAATGGAAAAAAATTGGTTGTTCAATAATGTCTGATGGATGGACAGATAAAAAAAGACGTTGTATTTGTAATTTTTTGGTTAATAGTCCTAAAGGGACAGTTTTTTTGTCATCGGTGGATACTTCTAATATGTCCAAAACTGCTGATAAGGTATTTGAGATGTTAGATGCCATTGTGGAAAGGATTGGGGAGGAAAACGTTGTCCAAGTAGTCACCGATAATGCTGCAAATTATAAGGCAGCGGGACAATTATTGATGGAAAAAAGAAAGAGTTTGTTTTGGACACCATGTGCTGCCCATTGTATTGACTTGATATTAGAGGATTTTGAGAAAAAGTTAGAGATTCATCAAGTAACTATTGCTAAGGGGAGGAGAATCACTTCATATATTTATTCAAGAACTATTCTTATTTCCATGCTAAGACACTTTACGAAAGGAAGGGATTTGATTAGGCCTGCTGCCACACGGTTTGCTACTGCATATTTAACTTTGGGATGTTTGAATGATCATAAAATACAGTTGATGACTATGTTTACTTCCAATCAGTGGAGTTCATGTAGGTTTGCAAGAATAGAAGAAGGGAAACGAATTCAAAATTGTGTTTTGGACAGCAGGTTTTGGCATGATGTTACTATATGTATTAAGGCAGCGTATCCTCTAATTAAAGTTCTTCGATTAGTTGATTCTGATAAGAAACCAGCTATGGGTTTTATATATAAAGCAATGGATGAAGCAAAAGAGAAGATACAAGTGAATTTTGGTTCTGTGAAGAAAAGGTATATATCTTGCTAATTTCTATTTTAAATGTTGTCATCTATTAATATGAATGTCTTTAGAGATACTTTCAATTGAGATATTCCTTGAGTGTAATGATATTTTTATTGTTTTTTTT